ACTAACATTTATATTTATATTTGTACTTATTATCTATCTATATATATATAGAAGATTTACTTATTTTAAGAGTAAGTCTTATAAATTTATTTGACTCAATAATTTATGTTTTACATTAGATTTTAATGATTCAACTATTATAAATTAAAAATTTTTAATATTTAAATTAAGTCTTCAAATTTTTAAATCATTTAAAAAGTATTTAATATTTCTTTTCATTCATTCAAGTTGACGGTTAATTATAAAATTATTTTATACATTATTTGAATTCATATAACAAACTATCATACAATTTTCAATTTTAAAAAATTTATAAGCTTGATATATACATTAAGAATTTTTAATTGAATGGTTAAATTATTAAAATTTAATATTAAGAATGAATTATTGAGTTAAATAAGTCTATTAAAACTTACTCTCGTAATAAGTGGATTCCTCCCTACACACACATATATTCAAATTCGTTGACATAGGTGTAAGTCTAAACACTTACACCAAATTCTGTCTCTAATAACTTTTTGTATACCGCAAGTTTAATAAATCCAATATTGAATTGTGTAATTTTATACACAAGATCTTAAATATTAAATTTTACATGATTCAAAAATTATTTAGTAAATCATCACATTACTATATTTTAACATAATATGATATTTAAATTATATAAATATAAATAATTAAATAATATATCTTGAAATGTCCAAACCATGTGAAATTTGATATATATAATCATAAGTATAATATCACATAATTCAATAACTGAATCAATTAAATTTGCATTATACAAAAAGTTATTGAAATATAATATTTGATTTATATATATATATATATATATTTATAAATATGTAAAATTTATAATTAATAAATATTTTGTATTATAAAAAATATTTTAAATTATTGATAACTTATTTTAAAAATATTAAAATTTAATCTAAAAATAAAAATAAAAATAAAACAATAGATCAAAAGAGATAAGTGGATATATACTTCATTTTTTAAAATGTTCTTGTTGAAGAAAAACAGATAAAAATATCTTCATAAAAAAATCAATTAAAAATACTATTGAATAATGGTTTCCAAAAAGTTTTTGTTTGACATAGTTACTCTAATTTATGTAGAGTAGAAATCTACTTGACCACATATAATATACTTTGAAAAATATTAAAACCAATAATTATTATTAATTTACAATATACAAACTAAAATATTAGTAGAGTAACAACAACTTTAAATTTAACAATAGATTTTGACATAAAATTATTTTATAAAACTTGTTTAATGGTGTGATAATTTATAAAATTTATATTATTACAAATATTTTTTTATATTACAAATATCTTTGGTGAAAAACAATAGTGGTGAAGCCGAATATATTAGTGTAAAATTGACTCACTTTTTAATTGCCCTTTTTCTCTTGAGGATAACTTAAGACACTCTCGGTTTGGATGTAATTAAGAAAGCAAGACATTCACGTGATGTGGTGAGAGAAAAGGAATAAGAATGAAAAAGTAAGTGAAAGACATGGATAAGTACAAGATGATGTCTTCTTCTCTCATAGCAATTACCACAAAATATTCGAGGAAATGGGAATGGGGTTTTTAGGTTGTAGCTTTGGTGGCTTGAAAAGAGAGAATGAGGTCAGGTTCATTGCTCGATCCATAAGGGACCCATTCCCATATCAAAAACTAGACCCACAACTTGCTTCATATATTTTACTCATTCAAACTTCAGATGGGACCAAAACCTAGACAATTCCAAGAAGCTGCAAAAATAAATCATTCAACATAAATATCAAACCATATATATCATGTAATATTAGACTCAATTAATTTTTTTTTTTGTTCGTTCATGGAGTATCCACCGCCGACAGCAGTGACTAATTTCCTGCTACGTTAGAGGCACCTCAAAAGATGGGATAGCTGGCCCCAAGATTTAACGTGGCTGCATACACAAGGCAAGATTCGAACCCCTGATCTTGCTTAAGCGTGAATCAACCCCTTAATTTCTTTTTAAAGTATTTTAGTGGAATTATAGATAGTTTACTCTATTTTTAATATAATTTTATATAGAAAAATATAAAATACATGAGAAGTCGAATTTGATCTCAAGTTTATTAGAAGTTAATGGACTTGATCAGGTGTATTATTCTTGTGAAAAAAAGATATTGCTCGTGTAAAAAAATATATGTAATTTATTAAAAAAAAAAAATTGGGAAAGAAAGAGGATCCGTGAAAAGGAAATAGTCATTACAGAATGGAAAATGGGGATTGCGGCAGGGAAATGAGGAAAAGAAAGCGCGTTACTTAGTTCTTAATTCTCTTTTCTATGAATAATAATGGGAATATTGATCTTACCCATATTGTGAATATGGTAATGCAATGTGTAAAGAATTGCTTCTTGTATTTTACACCAAAGAATGTAGGAGAATTACATTGGAGGAAGGTACTCATCATTGGAAAAATGAATTGGTTCACTGTTTTATTTCTGGGAGGTGTTTAGTATTGGAAATTATATTTTTTATAATTATATTTTTTTTTTGAAAATAATGTGTTTTCTTGGAATATCATAAATATATTGAAAACATCTAATGTATGTATAAACTTTCTTCTTTCATGGAAATATTAGATATATTGACAACTTTGCTATGATTTTTTTTTGTGAGAAACTTAATTAAAAAATATTCTTGTAAATGTTAGATTCTTAAGAATTAATTTTAAAATTGTCATACTAGACATCGAAATTTAACATTTTTAACTTAAGATTCTTAACAACCTTAAAAGAATTCTTCTACCGAATACTTTCTTAATTAATTTGATAAAGATGTAATAAGTTACAATTTTTTCTTTTGTTAAGAAAGGAAATTCTATCTATGGTTGAGATTTATATAATGATATTTTTCGTTATTTACATAATAATTACTAGTATAAAAGACACTTTTTTTTTGTCTTTGTGTGTATTTTATTTTAAAAAAATTACAATACCTTTTAATAAAAGTGGCAAAGAAATTCCAAAAGTGATGTTAAATGAATTACGATCAAACTTGACATTCTAAAATTTTGTTATCTATTAAATAGATGGTGGTGTTTGATTTAGAATCCTTAATATATCATTAACTTCGGTCTGATAATTATGAAAATATCTTTTTTTTATCATTTTAGTAAAAGAAACCGAATAATGATGAGTCTAACTTGAACTCAATTATTTAAGGATAAATATTTCACATATATAAAAGTGAACATGATAGTGATGAAGATCTCCATAGGGATTCATGTTAGAAAATAATTACTAAAAATGGTATTGTCTTTGTTAATAGTATAAATAATATATGAAAAAATAATAATTTACATGATGTAATGATAAAATTACAATATATTTTGATTAAACATATATAATTGATTTAAATCTTCAAAATTGCACAAGACAATTTTAGATATTAAAGCTTAAAAATATTGATGAAAATTTTGAGTGTGTCAACTCAAAATCAACACAACTAGCTCAGGAAAGATAAATTTCATCACAAGAGTCTCAACAACTATGACTATCCAACAACCATAAATAGAAATTTAGTTATTCTATTAGTTGAATCTAGATTACTTTGTTGATATAGGATCATAGCTAGACTTTCATTAGATGGGCAACTTTTTCTCTGATTTTCATGGCAAACAATCCAAGATTTTTTTTACATCCGAATGAAAATCCACCTACGGTTTAGGTTCTTCTGATCATGCAGGACTTATCATTGGTATGTGGTCCAAAGCCATTAAGATATATATAATTAACTGTTATGAAAGAACAGAATATATGGAGGTTTTTGATGGGTCAATTCTAATGTCTTTGGTCAATTGTACGCACTCTCATGGCTCATGCTCTCTCATCTTACTAGTTGCTATCACCTTCAATTAATTGCTAAAAGTTTAATCTAATATATGCGCTGATATTTAAAATTAATGGGATAGATTACACTTTTGTCCCCGTAGTTTAACACTTTATTATGAAGTTATCTTGTTAAGCATTTTTTTTTTCACTAAAGTTTGAGATAAAGTGGAAATTAAAATGTTATATCATAATCTAGATTTAAACTATAGTTAGTAGGCTTGAAATTGCAACTAAATTTTCACTTTAATTCAAAGTACATGTGTAATGATCTGACCTATCACTATATTTAATATAATCTAATTACTATGAAATGAAATTACTTAAATAACATTTAACTATCTTAAGGTTATCATGTAACAATTACTTAATTATTCATGTAATCTATAAATGTATAAGACAATAAACATATATTATACTAAAAAATATAACTCTTTTATTGGGTTACATATACATCATGTGCACATATATAATCCACATAAACTACATAAATATACACAAAATATTTTTAATCATCGGTTAAATGTCTATACAACTATTATGTCACATAGAGTAACATCACCAAAATAGGTCATCAGTTGTGTGACCCTCCACTAGCTGAACTAGCTATCTTACTCTCATACAAAGTATAATCATTATAATTTCAACCACAAAAAAAATGATAAGCTTGTGAAAGAACATTCACAACAATAACTTGCAACAATACAACATAAACAACTAAATCAACATTCAATGTAACTCAAACTTCACAACTTTCAACTTGTTAACAATATCATCATACAAATTAACAACTCAACAACTTACAACACAAACAACTTAACAACTTTAGACCCTACTAAACCATAGTGTCTGACCTATCACAACTAGGTCAAGCTGTTGTGTTTTGGCAGGACCAGTTCCGATTAGCAGGTGAGCAATTGATTTTGTTTATTTTTGAAACCTAAAGTGTCGCGTACAAAAGGAAGCCCTTTTCGAGGTTTACGTTTTTTGTAACTATTAGTGGTGGAAAATTTGTTTACATGATGATATATAGTTTGAATGTTGATTTTGCATTTGATTTTATATGTATGTGCAATTTTGTTGATCCATCTGTTGCTCCTGTCTACAGTTAATAGAGGTGAAGTAGAATGGAGTATGAGAATTCAAGTATAGAGGTAAGTGACATTTTTGTTACAATATAAATAAAATTAATATTGTGTTGTGTCATGTGTGGCATAACTGTCATCATGAAGGTTGATATTTTTTTTAAGTTTTTTATGCTCTTAAAAGGTTTAATTGAGGATTAAATAAAACTTTTTAGGTGGTAGTAGATAATTGTGAAAGCATAAATGAAGGAAATTGTGAAAGCATAAATGAAGGAGTAGATAATTTTGAAGGCATAAATGAAGGAGTATCTAATTTTGAAGCCATAAATGAAGGAGAAGATAATATAAATGAGAATGAGGAAGATGAGAATTTGGTTATTGATTTTGAGCAAATTTGTGAAGAAGTGGAAAATGTTGTTAATGAAGGAAGAGTCGAGGTTTTTGACAGTGAAAAGGGGGTCATAGTTTCTACTTTGGATGATATTTTTAATTTAGATTTGCATTTAAGTCCACATGAGCTTAGTAATGTTCAATTTGTAAGTGTTGAGATGGCTTACTTATTTTATTACTGGTTTGCAAAAGTTAATGGATTTGCCGCAAGAAAAAGCAAGATTTTGAGAAATATTAAGGGGGGAAAATTACAACAAACATTTGTTTGTTTCAAGGAAAGATTTAGAGATAAGCGTCGTTTGAACATACGGAATCGAAAGCGAAAGAAAACACCCGAGACAAGGTGCAGATGCGAAGCAAAACTAAGAGTGTATATTGATAGCAGATGTGGACTATGGTACATTACATATTTTCTGGATGACCACAACCATAGAGATATGAGTGAGTTAGATATAATGCAGTTGAGTAAAATGAGAAAAGTTGGCATAAGTACTCCTTAAATTTATGGGTCACTTGCAGATCACCCTGGAGGGTATGAAAGACTTTCTTTTTGTAAAAAGGACATATACAATAAAATTGGAAGGCAAAGAAGGTTGGAAGGTTTGGATTCTAAATCTGCCTTGGAATTTTTGAATGGTTTAAAATGCAATGATCCTTTAATGTATGTTGGTCACACTGTTGATGACGAAAACAAATTGCAACATTTGTTCTGGTGTGATGGCATGATGCAGATGGAGTATGAAGTATTTGGTGATGTGTTAGCATTTGATGCAACATATGGGAAAAATAAGTATTTATGTCCTGTAGTTGTATTTTCTTGTGTTAATCATCACAATCATATGATAGTATTTGGGAGTGCTATTGTTTCAAATGAAACTGAAGAAACATATATTTGGGTACTTGAGCAATTTGTAGAAGCCATGAAAGGAAAGTCACCAATGTCTATTATCACTGATGGTGATGTTGCAATGAAAAATTCCATAAGAAAGGTATTTCCTAATTCACACCATAGATTGTGTGCATGGCACTTATTAAGGAATGCGACAACTAACATTAAGAAGCCGACATTTACAAAGGATTTAAGAAAATGCATGTTGGGTGAGTATGAAATTGGTGAATTTCGAAAGAAGTGGTCTGAAATGTTGAACAAGTTTGAGTTGCATGATCATCCTTGGGTTATAGAGTTATTTGAAAAGAGGAAGATATGGTGTACAACTTATATTAGAGGGGCTTTCTTTGCTGGTTTTAGGCAACTTCTCGGTGTGAAGGATTACATTCTGAGTTGAAAAAATATATTCATCCGAAGATTAATCTGACAGAGTTTGTTCAACAATTTAATCGTCTTGTGAGTT